TGGGGAGGTAGTGGGTTGGGGCTGGGCTGTAATGCTGAGAAAGACATTACTTAACCCAGAACATGCACCACAGTATGACACTTTCACTCCCCAACCCTCTTGTCCTTGGCTATAGGCTTAATTTCTTTTTTTTTTAAAAAGGGGGGAGCTTGAGATAGGAATCCATCAATCACTCATTCTTTTAGCCCTGTATTCTTTAAGACTAATTGCTAGGATTCTGGGTGCGCACATGGGTCGTGTATTGACGGCCACGCCTAGCTTCCTTCCTTCAGAAGTGGAAATCGGTCACTAGTTTTCATTTGACCAAATCTGGGCTCCGTAAGGCAAAATCGTAAAACTCTAGAAAACCTGTTTTCGGCGATGCTCCGACTTTGGAAGGGCCCGATTACTAAAGCTAATTTAAACCATCCGAAGAAGGAAATGTCACTCTGGCATTTAAGGCCCTCTTCCCCATCCCCCCCCCCCAATTCTCACAAGGTTCAAGCCAAATGTTCACCCCCCCCAGGCTGTTCATTTCAGCGGGGGACCGGTGGCAGGTGGGTCAAAGTGTTGCTGACTCCATCTGGGGTTTAACACCAAGACTTAAGCAGAGGCAGCATTGCACAAACCCCCTGGATCTTTTTGGCAACCCCTTGTCCCATCTGTGGTCCGAGGTAAATGTTTTCCTGTGGTAGTGGGGTGTGGGGTGTTCTATCCCACATGCTACACTGCTTCCTGGCTGGGAGAGTTCTCCCAGCTGCCCTAAATTGTGCTCCTGAGAGTTCTAGCTGTCTTGTTTCTTATTCCGACCAAGAGCTGCAAGCCCTACATATAGCTTAAGCAGGACAGAGTTTGTTTCTTTTTGATCCAGTACTATTGGTATTATTCTTATCAACCTATTCCTAAAAGTTCCTTAATAGCACTGTGCTGCACGATGTCAAAGAAACTGCTGCTTTCTTTCAATAAAAGCCAGCGTGTTTGGCGTGCGAGCCTTCCGAAAGGAGTGTGGTTTCGGCACCGCAGTGGAGAAGAAGCATCTTGTGGAGCACTCTGTAAAAGCGAGCTGTAACTTCATTGACTTTGTAAAACATTTTACAGAGGTGCAGAAGTTCGTGATTAGCCGTAATAGAGGGAGGCGTGTGTTTGAACAGTGGCCTGGTGACATGAAGTGACTATTGTCTGCGCTTTATTGCTTGTTAAGGCACACTGCCTTGTAAAGTGGGGAAGAGGGTTGCAGGATTCAATACGGGCGAGACAATGGCCTCTGCAACTGGAGCTCCTGCTGTTAGTGGGAAACAAAGGTGCTGAGCGCTGGGGTCTGCTCACGCTGGGACTGTGTTCTAGCTGGACTCATTATGATTGTGTTTTAATGGAATGCTACTGGACTGCACCTTAGCACAGTGGTCAGCATTGCTGCCTCTGAGTGCTGGGACCTTGGGTTCAATTGCAGACCTGGGGTGCTGTCTGCGTGAAGCTTGCATGTTCTCTCTGGGGTTGCGTGGGTTTCCTGCTACAGTCCATAGACATGCTGGAGGGTTAATTGGCTCTGGTGTGAGTGGGCGTGTCATTCTGTGTGCCCTGTGATGGACTGGCATCCTGTCCTGGGTGTGTCTCGTCTTGTGCCCATTGCTTGCTGGGATATGCTCTGGCTCTCCCACAACCCTGAAGTGGTGAGAAAATGGATGGGTTGAACTCGATGGGCTCCTGTAGGGTACCAGCTGCAATTAACTTGTCTGGTTAAATAAAGGATTGAATTTAAATGAAGCAGTTGCAGGCATTCGTAATGTACAGGCTCAGCGAAAAATGAAACTCTTCAGAAAGCCCTTTTAATCTTGATTTTTAAGGCATGACCCACAATGGCATGTTTTATTTGTGATGTCCAGACACGGGCACAAGTGAGTTCTGTGTAGTCATACAGTACAAGAGGCACTGTGGTACTCCATGGGACCTGCCACCTCAATACCAGACATTTATTCAGAACTGAATGATGACGATACTGATATGCAAAACTCCTGATGATTTCTCTGGCCTTTTTAAGAGCTGCAAAACGTTTAAAAAGGTTCAATCAAGCACATAGCCGGCTTACCTACCCACTCTCCCTGCTCAGGGTTGCAGCTATAGTTGACTTAACCCAGGTTATTAAAATCTGTGAATTACAGGTAGAGAATACTAGTTCCCCCCCCCACACACACACACACACACACCTCCCTCAGATCTAGATTTGAAAACCACTACATCAAGAAAACGTCTTTTGTCCAGGGTGCTGCTATGAGCAAACTGGAGATTTCACCCACTGTCACCACAACCTGCCCAGATCGTTAGCCTTTCCCTGCCTGAAGAGCAAAGGGCGTCTAATCTCGTTGCTTTGTTTATTTGTTTATTAGGCTTTATACACCTGCTTCTGGCAGCTCGACAGGATGATTACAGCCGGAAGACGCACTGCCTGGATGAGAAATGCAAATGAGACTCTCTGAAAAGTTGTCTGGCACTCTGAGCTAACAGTGCTGGCACAGTGTAAATACGACCTGGTGCAGTGAGGGGGGGCATCACAACATTGGGCTGTGCTGTCTTCTAACACTTTTGCAAGTCACATTAGAAAGTCTGGATTTCATTAGAGCTGAGCTCATGCTGCTGCAACAGTAAAGCACAGGTGAGGTAGTTTTCTGCTTCAATGGCTTCTGGGGCCTTTCTACAAGATCATTGAGCAAGAATCCCTTCCTCCCAATTTCAGTATAAATCAAACCGAGATTCACAATAGCTAATGATAATATACCCATCCATCCACCCATTTTCTAACCACTTCTTTCAATTCAGGATCGCAGAGGAGCCAGAGCCTATTCCTGCAAGCAATGGGTACAAGGCAGGACACACCCTGGGTGGGACGCCAGTCCATTGCAGTGCATTGCACACACAGACACAAACGCACACCCTCCCACTGGGGCCGTTTTTCCCAGAAGCCAATTAACCCACCCGTATGTCTATGGATTGTGGGAGGAAACCGGAGCACCTGGAGGTAACCCATGTGCACATGGAGAGATCATACAAACTCCACACAGACAGCACCAGAAAACCTTAGGAGCCTTGAGGATCTAGGCTGCTCAGCCAGTACATGTGTAACATTGCTGGTAACCATATAGAGTTGGGATCACATTCTCCTTCGTGTTTTACTGACAGCATTACCAATATGGGACCAATATAGTCTTGTGAAATGCATATAGTGAACTTATGATCTGATGATCAAGATATACCTTAAATTACAAATCAATGTGATGTAGGAACTGATATTAACTCAACATTGGTATGTGCCTAGTAATGAAGAGTTTGTATCACTTTGTTAATATACGTTTAGAAATGCTCTTTTCAGGTAACTGAAAGGGCTTGTGTGTTTATCAATGTATTCAACTCAAGCTCTGTTATCACCTGGGGGAAATGTTTTTCATTTTGGAGGGTGTAATGGACAGTCTTGACAAAACCCCCATTAAGGCTGGCCAAAGATCTCCCTTTCAGCCCATCCACGTTATGAAATGTTACTCTGCTGTTGTTGCTTTTCTGCATTAGTGAGCATGCACATTTTTCTGCCTGTGTGCTTTGAGCCTTTCTGTGTCCACAGCCCCTGAAATGACAGGAGCATGTTTGTATTGAGAAATTGCTGGAAATTGTCACCCAGAGAGCAAGTGTCTGGAAAACATGGGCATCGCATTAAACCACTTGGGCATCATGACATGTGAGAAATGCTATTGAGTAATAAATTGATAGGTTTGCGCAGACCCTTTAATTCTGCAATCCTGTTCCTGGACAGCCAGGATTATCTGCAGGTTTTCAATCCAACTCCGCTCTTAAAAGATCTGAGTCGGCTTGTTACTGGCTTAATTGGATCAACTGAACAGATCCAATTTCTTACAGTGATCCAGGTGCTGTTGCTTCAAGAGATCCAAAGCGGCACTCTGCTATCACAGGGCTTTAATCCTGGCCCTGGACGGCCAGTCCAGGTTTTCAATCCAGCTTGGGTTTTCATGACCCCAATCAGCTCATTGCTGGCTGAAAATATTGGTTCCCAGTCCTGGTACTGTGGACCCACACACACCTGATGGTTTTTGGTCCAGCAGGCGCCCTCAGTTACTCAATCAAACCTGTCATTAACTTTAATAAAGTTAATTTGAATTCTTGTTCCCAGCTCTTACACATGTAGGAGCTTTAACCATTGTATTTCCTAAGTGAAATAAAGTCCCAAGCTTGTGATTAGAAACAAAATGCAAATATTCCAGTGGCAGATGAGGGCAGTTGAGTGGTTTTAAGTGTAACTGGAAGATCAATGGTGATTCTAATTCAAGTGTTCAATCAGCTGACCAAGTTCTGTTGCAGTAACATTGCGTTCAGTTTGACTTGGGAGCAGAAATGCAGGGCTCTTTGGAATGTCCCCTCAGTAGCTCAAAAGCTGAGCGCTATCAAGCTCTTCTCGGTATTGACATTTCCAGGCAATCTGCATTGATAAGGGCCTCTGGTATTCATGTGCATCGGCTTGCAATTTATCCCTTTTCAATTAAAATATTATTGGGAATCCTACATCGCAAAAAGGCGAATTGCAGGTCAGTAGATTCAGCTTCTCACTTTTTGCAAATACCCAGTAGATCTGTTAGTGAAGCAAAGCTGAGATCCATGTAGAATTGGTGCTATTGTATACCAAAAGCATCTGGGAAAACCTTTCCTTTGCATGTCTGGGGAGCCCCCTAAACAGGCTATAAGGATCAGCCCACAGTTATCCCTTCTTGATATTTAACTTCCCACGAAGG